AGACAACCATATGTTTCGGGGCAGCAAAAACGCCATGCGATCATAGAGGCGAAAACGCCCCTGCACTGTGGACAGATCTCCATCACGAAGGCAGAAACGGTCTGCCTGCAGACCCTGTGCTCTGGCTTGATTAGTTAATTCACTCTCGGGACTGCAATAGACCTCAAGCAGGTCATGATGATTCTGGGATAGCCGCTTGGGGTTTTGGAGAATTCCCTTACTGCTAAGGTACTTCCACATTTCTTGGGCTACCCAATTATTCTCACGAGCAAGATAGATGTTCTCCCCTACATCTACTTCAAGCATTGGGTCAAAAATCTTGTTTGGCTCTTGGTTGGCTTGCCATTGAGCGCAGAAGTCGGCAATCAAATGGCTATCTACAGTTCGGCAGGGCTGTTCGAGGCTGGGTGCCCCTGGTTCAGGTGCATCAGGATCTGGTTCATCATGTTCTCCAATTGGTCCATGCGATACTGCACAGCTGGCTCCATGGAGAAGACCGGTTCGGTGATTGCATCCCATGGCTCGGCATCCAAGGTCTCCACATCCTCCTCCTCGAAACTGGCTGGATGCCACGGATCGTGTGGCTGCTCCGGCATCTGAGCCCTGGCTTTGGCTGTTGCCTTGGCCTTTGCCATGGTCTTCGGACGGGGTAGGTTCATCTGTTGTTCGATCTGATCCACATGGAGTTCGATGAACCGGAGGAATTTCACATGGGAAGGCTTCTGACTGGCTCGGTAGGTGTCGGCGAACCACGTCAGATACCTGGTTTCGGAAATCATCTCCTGATACTTCTTTCCGACATGGGCTTTGCCGAAGTCGATGACACAGTCCTTGAGATCTTCCAGCTTCATATTCTTGATCTCGTCGATGGTCTCCTGATTGGTTCCTTCGTTCAGGGACAAGCGACGGAGACGATCTGCCAGCTGATCGAATGACTGGGACGACGCCATGGTGTGCAGGTTTTTGGTTGGATGACGGTCGTTCTGGGCAATCACCTGTCGAACCTTTGAGCCTTGCACTATCAGGACATGGTGTGTGATCAGGCTGTGTACTTGAGGCTTCATTGGTCATGCTCTGGGCTTCTTGGAGGTTGAGGTCTTCAGAAACAACCCCACTCTCCACATTTGGTTCGTGACTGACACTCACCTGGGCCACGGCTAACTCCTTTTGCGACCCGTTCGGACGGTTGTCCAGAAGTTCGGCAAGGTCTAGCCGATAGAGCTTACGGTCCGTCAGGACCATTGGGATTGATCGGCCCAGCTTTTGGAAATGGATCAAATTAGCACCAGTGTCGATTATGGCTCCTAAGGCACGGAAAACACTATTGGCTATCAGGAATGGTGTGTTGGAGGGAACTACCACCACCTTAATCCATTGCTGGCCGACTGGAAAAAACACGGCACGCTTTCCGGTGACTGTGCTATCGTTTCCAAAACGGAAGTTCACAGAGCATGGGGCCTCACGCATGTTCTGCTTGACATGTTTCGGTAGATGTCGACAAAGTTCGACAAACTGGTCATGGCCTATGACTGACATGCTGGCGCCTAAGTCTACTATTCCTGAGGACCCATGGGACACAAAACAGGCCGTTTCGACAGGATTTAAACTCCCGGTCACTGTTGGACGCAGGGGGTCAGCAGGTGGCGGCATGCTATCAGCTTTCTCCTCAGTCGTTGGGCTCTTCCTGCAAAGGGCTTGCAGTCGTCTGGTAAGATCTGGACGGATTCTCATCAACTGGGACTTCAATGGTTCTGGGTTCCAACTATATCTAACAGCACTTGGTGGAAAGAATCTGTTAGGCATGTATGGCTTACCATGACCCCATGACCCCTGGTTTGAACCGACTCTGACCTCATCGACCATGAAGGCAACGGCTTCCGACGGCAATTCATCGATCACATCTAACATCTCTCCATCTTGCGAGGCATCAATCACCACTCCAGTAAAAGCGGCAGGGCCAGGTTGGCTGCTTCCAGAAGGGACATGTTTATTCCTTTGGGGACATTCGGCTTTCCAGTGACCCTTCTGATTACAGATCCTGCAGGTGCTCTCCAGAATCCGTTGGGCAAGCGGCTTTCTAAACTGTGAACGGAAACCACCTTTGTGCTTTCCTCCCTTGCCTTTCCCTTTTACCCCCTTCTGAGGGCCCCAGAATCCACGACCGCGAGCTTTGTCAAGCAACCTTCGCCGTGCATCAGCGTAGGCATTGAGACATGAAGCTACCTCAGGATCACTCTGGAGGGACTCGATGATGGTCTCCTCAAATTGCTGGACAGTGAGTGCGTCTTCATCACCTTCTGCCATCAAGACTTCAAGAGCTTGATCTTCTGATGTTTCCATGGATACAAAAATCGATTCATCATGATCTTCAACATCTGGTTCACTTTCATCAACCAGGTTCACATCGTAAGTTTTGGTTCGACCTGCGACCTTGACACCACCTGATTGAACTTCTCCGAAGAATTTGGAACCAAGCAATTGCAAAGCTGAGGTGACTTTGCCATACTCCAGTTCACCTTTGGCCTCAATGATGATTCTCTTTTTGTCTTCCGCTGATAACCCTGAGTTTCTCAGGAGTATATACGCCCGCATTTCTTCGAGCGTGGCTCCCATTCCAATCAGGTCTTCATACTGTACCTCATGTCGTGCTAGGTAACTTGTATGAGTCTCGTCAGCCTTCTGGATTGTTCCAAAGATCGCTCTTTCAAATCTCTCATATTTCTTTTCCACCCTAGACTGCCCCCAGACACCGCCGAGGGTAGAAACCACCAGTTTCACTCCGTCGATGGAGGACACAAGCAGCTTCTCAGGATCTAGTCGGACTACTTTGGCAAATGCAGACCCTTCGCACAACATGCAAGCTCTCGGTGCTAAGAGCGGCAGGTGTTCTTTCGGCCAGATATTCGCCAAAAACTCAAGACGTCTTGTGTATTCGTTCACCTCTGTCTCCCCTGGTTTGAAACTGGGAATCAAATGCCATGGTAGAAATGAGTTGGACCCACTGGAACTTCCACCTGACGTTGTCTCTGAAGTCCCATTTGGACCAGACATAGCTCCTGGATCCCCTCACTTTCGCTAGACCACAGTGTTGTATCCCAGTAGCGGTGAGCACAATGGCTCCGCTACCAGTATGAAACTGGTAGCAAGCCCACAAGAATCTCAAACAGCACCAAAATGGTTGTTGGATGACCTTGAACCCCAAGGATATGAGATAGGTGGCCCCTGGCCAAAATGGATAGATCGGCCTCCTGGCCCCAATCAATACGCGCACACCGACGCCATTCCTTTTGCCACCACTGCGACCCCCTGGTCGTATTGAGCCTAGATGTCATATGCATCCAGGTGTCCACATGCGAATCCCTGCACTGGAAATGGTTGGAGAAAGCACAATATATATGATATATATATATATATGATATATATATATATATGATATATGATATACGTATGAGGTATGAACATTATGGGGTTTCACCTGATTCACTGGGTTGATTTAAGAGCAGATCTACTGGATCAAGCAGTGTCGAAAAGCAAAACCATTTCCCCCCTTTTTGGTGAGACGAGTCACATAAGTTTCCAGATCTCGTCATGGGGATCGGGGAGCGTCACCCCTCACCTCGCCACGCAGATTTGGGGGATTTCTTTGAGATGCGAATGCGCGACTTGGCCCGGGCTCACAGACAGACGGCGAGAGCCATCCACCTGGACGCTTCAGTCTACGCCAAGATTAGATGAATTATGAATTAATACCAAAAAAATGTAACATTTACAGATTTCCACATCACCAAACACATTATGCTGAATATGGTTCGTTAAATTGAGGACAAGCATACTCTAAATTAAAGCCAAATCTGAGCCGCTAGAATTCATACAAAGATCCAATCACTGTCCCTGCCATCCAAGATTCAAGAAGTGCCTCATATTATAGTATAAGAACCCTGGCATAGCCTTGGATCTGTTTATTTGGTGGCCCATTTGATTGTAGTCCTGTTTTTCGGTGACCACGGTGGGGTTTATGGGGACGACAGATTTGTTCATATCTTGTAGGAAACACATCCCTAGATTGATCTGAGTTACTGGTATAACCCAGCGCAATCCGAAGAACACCCATATTGGAAAGTATTGGACAAGGAAAATCCATGCTAGACATGTAGAGGTTCCACGTTAGATTTCAGGATTTTTTTTGTATATCTTAGGGGCCCATCCATTGACCCATCCGCTTGATACGAATTTCTGAAGGTCAAGGGCCATGCTCCCGTTTGTTTGCTGAAGCGCTGGACAGCAGGGCAGAGGGACGCCATGGTGCCATTGGGGCCCGGTACATGATATATTGAGGAACTCCTGGAAATCATGGTGGATATATTGGGACATCATGGGGGATATATTGAGGACATCGTGCCATGATATCACCAACCATGTTGGATTTCGGTCCTGGACATGGGGTACTCCATTCCAGTGGGCACTCATGGTTACTCATCTTTTCCGCTGTATGTGAATACAACACCTTGATATTGACTAACCCCAATAGTAGATGCAATACTAAAGTTACTACAGCAAGGCTTCTCGCAGGGCATTTCATATTAGGGGGAATAGATTAAGAGTCCAGCTAATTATTCATTCCGTTGAAGTTGAATGTCGGTATACGTTCTTATTTGCCCAAAGCATAGGGAACATACCACAATTGTATCTCAATTTCTTTGTGACATCAACATATTCCCACAGATACGGATTTATCCCAGGTTTCGATCCTTCGCTAGACCTTTGGTGTACCCTCTTCAGACAAACCCAATGGAGGCAATGCCGCGGCTGTCCACAGATCTGTCTACAGATCAGCATGTAAAAAAACTCTGACAATTTTGACCGATAAAGACGGGTCAAAAAGCTTTTGAAGAAGACATGTTGCTTTTTTAATAGCTACTGTCTATTGTTTGTGAGAAAAACGTGAGCATCAGATGCATGAAGTTCAGACTTTGCTGCAGTCTTCCATCTTTAACACGCTTATTTTCCACGGGTGATCGCTCACGTTGCCGCCATGCCGAAAGAGACTTCGACACTGGGCCAAGTTTGACCAGGAGTTGAGGGATTGGATGTTTTTTTTCAGGGAAAATCCATCTATAAATGGATGAGAACTGGGGGTAGCCCTATGACTTAGGAAACCCTATGACTTTCTCTGACAAGTCTGCAATTTGGAGAGCTCTAACCCTAAGGATGGTGCATGAACATGAACATCCATGAACATCCCTGTTTTCTACGTGCCAACATGTGCCAACCTCCCAACTAATCCCGATATCGACCTAACCCTCCTTTGGGTTGGCAGGCAAATCCAAGTCATTTTTGTGCCAGAAGTCTATGTCCGCATGACTTGCTCTATTCCAGTGAAATTTTGTAGTTCTAATCTTCTAATCTCCGGATCTCTCAGGCACATTGATGCACTTCCCAGTCAGATGCTTGAGAATCTCAGGTTTGCCTGACTTCCCAGTTTTCCATTCCTCTTTACAATGAGACTCCTGCTTGAGCTGCTGACGGTTGACTGAGGACTCGCTTTTCCCCAGATGCCGGAGCATGTGAGATCACCTTGAATCGACCTGCAAAACTCAACGCCTTGAATCTGGACATGTGCCCTGGTCGTATGTTTTTGGATTACTCAACCATCCAATTCCAGGATTCCAGGGGTATCAAATTTTGGACCCATATGGACCCATATCATGTACCGATGTGCAACCGAACGTCTTTGGAGACGCCTTGTCTTAGATGTGGGAGAGGGCTTTTCATATTCTTGCTTCCGATGGGCCACTGCCAGCTGTACATGGGGCTCTGGTTTACCAGGTGTTGGAACTAGAAGCAGGGCCCATTGCTCTATGTTTCGCTCCTTTTATCTCTTTTTAGGGTGGAGGGAAAAACAACTCCGGGATCTCATCCAGGCAAATCATCATAAATCATCCAGGTGCACACAATCCCAACAATTTCAGTAAAGTTCAGTCAAATTGAAATCTTAAACTCAAACCTCACATTTCATGGTGGACGTTTATTGTATCCCATCCTGCCATCCACCGTGGAATCACCGGAAACTATGGATTCACCTTGATGAAAACCCCATCGCCGACATCGTTCCAGCCAGGATCCGCTGCCTACATAGGGCCTTGGACCAAGTGGACGAGAAAGCTGGGAAGGTGCGGATGGTGTGGCGATGTGTGGCGGGGCCCTCCGAAAAATCGTCACCCACGGTTCAAGTTCAAAGTCATGGAAAAGAATGGAAAATCAGCAGAAAGTCAGCGACTTTGGTGACTCCGATTTTAAGAAACCCAGATTGTAGCTTGTCCCCTGCAGCAATCATTGGATTAGTGTCTCAGGTTTTTTCGCAAGACGCCCTCCATTTCTTTTGCACCCCCCCACGTTTGATGGTCAAATCACCAATCCTCGTCGATGAAACAAGGGAAACAATGAAACAACTGTCGCAGATACCTGGGCTTTGCAAAGTACCTGGGGATCTTGGACACCTGAAACAAAGTAACGTTGTATCTGTCGAAAATATCTCCAGTTTTTCAACAAATCCATGGGACATTTGGCGATTCGGATGAATTCGGATGCGGCAGGTTGGTTGTTTGATCATGGCCGGATCTGGCGGCAAATCCTTTTGTGCCGGTGGTGATGTGCAGATGATTCGAGAGGACATCGGGGCTGGTTGAACTTGGGATGTCAATTTGGAGAGTTAGGTTCGGGAATTGGCGAAATTGTGATATGTATCATGATGTATCCCGAAATATATGAACATGGAAGACTACTATGGAGATCATTTTCAAGATCATGGGCTTAGGGGAAAATACCCTACTGTTGTGAGACGGGCTGTTGGTTTGGGATGATGAATGTACAGTGCATTGGATTTCTGAAGATGCTGGATGATTTATTGAAACGCGCTTCATTCAGGGGGATCATGGAATGAACCCTCCACCGAGCACGATATCTGCAAGTCATGCGGTAAAGAAATCACCAGGAGGGACTCCGTGGAGGTTCACTTCCAGCAGATTTTTTCTTTGAGGAGTATGGTGTGATGTTCAGATTGGCCACGCTCTTCGAGCGAACGGGTGCAGCGGGTGACACGAGGGTCACGAGGGGAGAAGGTGAATTTGAATCCACGGTATGTGAGGCAAGTCATTCGGTACTCCAGCTCATGATCCAAAATTGGATGGTTCCAAACGAAACACGCGCAACATTTGTTCAGCTGATCTTTAAACAAACTTTCAGTTTGACCGTCAGTTTGACCCACAACACTCGAAAGTTGCAGGCTCCTCAAAAAGGCACAGTTTCCAGTTATCAATGGCCATGTCAGGAACCGATTCATTGGAGGTACCTACCATATATAAGGCCTATATAAGGCCTATGTAAGGGAATATCCCAGCAAAATATAGCCAAACATATGGTACTAACGTACCTCCATTTTAGGATCCTGAAATTTCCATTGAAGTTCCAAGCTGTTCCAAGTCATCCAACTGATCCCCAGATATCCCCCGCACCAGGCTGTTGTCAGGTGAGTCTTCTGGATGGCATCACCATGGGCGGTGGCGTCGGCCTTTCCACCCATGGCCCTTTTCGCATCGTCACGGAGAAGACCCGCTTCGCCGCGCGGCGATGGCTCCCATTTGGGGTGGACAAATTAGGGGAAAACCTATGGAAAAGCCATGGAAAACCCAAACATCACGGTTGAGAACATCAAATGTTGCCATCACATTTTTCCCATTGACAAAAAAAAACGACATCAGAATTTTCCGGGGATTCCGGATGATTCCGGTATACCCAATTTTGAGACAAATCCATTTGGTACACCCAACGTGGATAGGTTGAAGATGGGCTCCTCAGGTCTAAATCCGGACATCTGCGACAGATTGTGGATCCAGAATTGAGAAACACACCATTTCTGAACCACCAGGTGTTGGTAGATGTTGCTACATGCTTACTTCAAAGATAGACAAAAACTGCTTGGTGGTTTAGAACATGACTTTTATGACTTTCCATTCAGTTGGGAATGTCATCATCCCAACTGACGAAGTCATATTTTTCAGAGGGGTAGGGCTCAAACACCAACCAGTATCACATGTTTATGGGTAATCCAACCATCGATCAAAAGATCAAAATATGGGTAGTATCACTATTGATCACTATTAATGTGGGTAAAAAATAAAAATACACCACCCATGACTGGGAATGGTAAACATAGCACCTATAAAAACATGACGAAGTAATATTTTTCAGAGGGGTAGGGTTCAACCACCAACCAGAAATTCTTGGTCATATCCCATTGTATTCTACAGACTATAACATTATAATATAACCATATCCCATTGATCAAAATATGGGTAATCCAACCAACCAGCCTTGAGGCGATGCCGGAGATGGCGATTGGACTCTTTCCAGATGCAGCTGGGCGCTGGACTAGGCATTTCATGGAGAAAAAATGTTTTCCCTGAAATTTTAAATAGGGATATACTATGATATACTAATATAGTCAATAGATGTCAGTAGTAACTTGAGACACTACTGAATATAGGATATAGAAAAAAGGATATAGGCAACTATTGGATATACTGATATACTCAATAGTAATATAGTAACCCTAAATTTGCAATGGTTTATGATTGCATTTATGATCAGGTTTACCTCATTAGTTGCAATATTTTGGGATAATGTCAACCCTGGATTGTTAAACCCCTATGCTCTTTAATTGGCGGGTACCAAGTAAATAATCAAGTATCATATTATCACTATTTGGAGGGTACCCTTATGATTAATACACAATGGTTTACTCATCCAGGGTTGACTATGATATATGTATATAACTACTGATAACATGGGAACATAGGAAATTTATGGATATACTGAAGGGTCAAGTATTTATGGATATCATGGGGTAGTATATAATCAATGTTAGCTGTATAAATATATATGAATATATATATATATATATGTTATATAACCTATGACCAGCCATGTGAATCTAAAACCATCTAAAACCAACAATGCATATTGATGGAAATTCCGTCAAACTGACTTGACCAACCATGTATCTGGGATATCATGATATATCGTGGGATATCATGGGAGATAATGATAATTTATGATTAATGGCAATATTGTTTGTCTCCTAATGGACAACAAATTAACTCATCAATTATGGAGATCGACAAAGGTCATGAACACGTGCATACAAGTAACTAAAACATACTAAAACTATATATGAGATTTGGGTGTGTTCAAAAACATGGGATGTATACTACCCAAAAGGCAATCGAATAAGAAAAACATGATTGCAATGGATAACCTCGACAAAAACCCTATCTGAAACCGTCCAAGTAACCTTCAGACGACCGTAATAAGTATTTCAAATGATTGATGTTAACATAATTAGATATCTTGCCAGATATCATCTATATCCAAGATTATATTATATATATAATCATATATAGGTATATATATATATATACATGATCTATAAACATCTATAATTACCATCTGGTTATTTAACATAGCCATGGAAAATCACCATTTGTAATAGGTAAACCATCTATATCTATGGGCCATCTATACCATGGCTATGTTAGTCATAACCAGAGGGTACAATATTTTTTTCGTGAACATCCAATCCCATCCCAGGTAGGCGCCACCCATTTGCTGAGCCATCTGAAGGCCGGCAGCAACGTGGGACGCCCCTCGGCCCTCGACGCCGATGCTGCAAGTTGTGCCAATTGGTTTATAACTGGGATATGAAAAATGGTGATTTAATGGTGATATAGTCATGATATTACTTACTGGGATATTGATGGAAATTTAAGTTGTGGCAATTGATTTAATGATAACTGGGAATATCATGATTATATATATATAGTTCAACTTACTGGGATATTCCCATTAAATCATGATATTCCCATTAAATGGGATATGACTGGGATATCTTAATGGGAATATAATCAACAAATATCGTTTATAATAGTGATATAATGGTGATTTGATGGGAATATCATCAACAACATGGGAATATCATGGGATATATATATATATACTGTATACACTTACCATTCATAACAACTGGCAACCATGGGTTTGTTTAGTCGCTGCTTTTTTTTTCCAATGGAACATCAAACTTTTTGGGAATATACTATACAGGGATTACATCTATTGGGTTTAGTTCTATAACAAGGCGAATTGACAGAACCTAACTTGTGGTGGATACCTAAGTATTTGTCTATATAAGCCTTGTATAAAGCATGGTTTGTGGTGTATAAATCTACAGTTGGATGGTTTTTTTTTGGCGATCTAAAATCAAGATCAAAAAACACAACGGATGATGGCGAGGTGGTTGAAAAATGTGGTTTCAATGTGTTTCAATGATGTTATTCCCCTGGAAAAGCGCGCGATTGTTAATCATTGTTGGTAAATCTTGGTCGTACCTCCCGATTCTTGACTGATGATAGCACCCAGCCATTGTATTGCTTGATATTCATTCCATTCCCGCGAAGATGCTCGATATGTCCTTGCTGGTTCTATCACCCAGAAATATATCCATACTCTCTGTAATGTCCGTAGTCCATAGTCTTACTGATTCATACTGTTTGAAATCCCCAGAAGACTGATTGAAAATTAGTCGGCTAATATGTGGCATTGGTGTTTCCTTCGGTTGATATAATTTATCAATATTGTTATATCCCACATCGTTCCCCCGCAATATCCATAGTCTTACTTGATAATATAGCAAATTGTCCCTCATTTACTTGTATGGTCATCCTGGGGTAGATAGAATATGCCTCTTTCAAAAAACTTGCAGCAATAGGGAATATGATTGAACATATGATTTTCTATCAGGATCATTACAATTATATATATATATATCCCATTAATACTCCCATTAATATCCAGTCATATCCATTAATATCCCATTGATATCCCATTATTATATATATATATATTTGTACATATGGGATATTGATGGATATTACTGGATATTTTTTTTCGGGATATATGGGTTATTTTTGATTAAAAAACGCACATGTTTTCCCTAGGCTTCCTGGCGATGACGGGGACAAATCTCGCTGCCTGGGATTGCCTTCGGGCTGGTGTGGTCCGGCAGACATACGGCAGGCTTTTCTTATGTCTACCCTCTGGTTATGACTAACATAGCTATTGAAAATGGCCATAGAAATAGTGGATTTTCCCATTAACAATGGTGATTTTCCATAGTTATGTTAGTTTACCAGAGGGTAAACGTTTACCGGAAGTTATATCAACCACATGAAATTGGAAGCTTTTGAATGTGGAAATGTATTGAAATGTAGTCACTTGTTTTAGGATTTTGATTTTTCTTTAAGGCTGGTTCTGCTTATTTTTGGGGATTGAAATACCTAAAGTTTTGCTTTCCTTGGCTTTTGTAGCTGTTTTGTCACGTTTTTATATTTCGAGTTTTCGATCCTTTTAGCTGCCTTTTTGTTGGAACAACAAACTGCACCTGGCAGTTTTCGTAAACATCCGTTGCCAAGGTTGGAACACACTTCGTGCCATCCTCTTGCCACTCGCCGCAATCGAAGGATCAAAATAGGTAAGTCACTTAAAGAGGTAGTGAGTTAGTTAATTAGAGGATATATCAACAATAAGTTTTAATGGATTATATTGAATATGAAGACAGTTTAGAGGTAGTTAGTTATAATGGATTATACCATAGTATACAAGGAATTATATAATCTATTAAAACTTACTATTCTAAAATTTGTATATTTATGTTACTTATATGGGCTTTCAAATTATCGCAACATGTGGACCTAGCTGTGCTCAGGCGTTCCAAAGCTCCGGAAGGCTTTACTCAGCAGGCGTCATGGCCAAAGCCGGTTCATTGGCATCCTCCGTCAGGATCATAAATATATATATATAGATAACATATGTGTAATTCTGTATATATATATATATACATACATATATATATATATATACAGCTAGTGAAGATTGCAAGAACTTTGAAATTGACTCTGGTCGTCTCAATGGACTTTGGGATGGTTCCTCGTCAACTCATAGATTTTTTTTGGGTTTCTATGAGGCCAACTCATCAACTGAATTAAGAGGAGTTATAACTTGGTTCAGAAAACCATTTCAACTGTGGATAGGTCCGCCATAAATCCCAGTTATTGTAGTTGGAACATGTTATAAACATGTATCAACCAACTTACCTATCTAGGCCTTACATGGTAAAGTCGCCTTTTTTCAAAGGTGACTTCTGTGCGAGTCTTTTGGCTAAAATCCGGGGGCCACCCGGATTTTGTGAACGCCGCGGGATGTCGCATCTGAAGCCCTTCAAATTGACCCATGTGCTCTTCGAAGAGGAGGATCCTTTGGGGGAAATCATGGCCTTCCTGACCATCTCGCCTGTCTTGGTTGCTGCGAGCTGTTTTTGTTTTTTTTTCTGCATATTTTTTCTCAAAAACATGGTTTCACCATCTGATATACTGTTGATGTCCTGTATAATATACTTGTGGTTTTCAGGATGTTCCATCCCTCTAAGACTCTACAAATGGGATACTGACCAGATACTGGGCCCATTTCTGACGAATAGAATCGTTCACATGTTTTCATTTTCGTTTATCTAACCCTCCCAGAATTCGCTGAAGGAAAAAATCTGCTAGCACAAACCATGCTTGCGAAAGAAATCCCTTCATCCAATCCGGACCCTCAAAACCCAAAAAGTCAGGTGGGTTTGTCTCAGAGCCCATTCCATCCACTGGTTCATTTATCATTGTCCCAATTTGCCCCTAATTTTTTTTGGTCATATTTTTTTTCTCAATTCCAAATCTTCGAAACAGCCCCAGGTTGCCTTTGGTCTGGGTGTGGCTTTCCTGGTCACCCAGCAACTTCCCTGGGCCTTCAGCCTACTTGGTGCGCTGGTCATCGACGGCCTATGCTCGGTGCTGAAGAAGGTCATCAATGAACCGCGACCACCTGGGAGTTACCGGGAGGGCCCTGGAATGCCAAGTCACTTGGCGGATAGGAAAGCTGTGAATGTCCCCCCAAAAAAGGCCCAATGCTCCAAAATGAGAGGAAAAATATGATTGAAATATATTGAACTTCAATATTTATAATATTCCAAACCAGGGTAGTGTTATAGATGTTATAGCACATCTAAGGTGAGCACGCAGCCTTCTCGGTCTTTTTGGCCGTCCACTGGTCGCTGTGGGTGAGCTTTCAGTTGAAGTGTTCCAAGGCTTTGAGGCTTGGCTTGTGATTAGCGGAAGTTTATGATAGTTTATGTGTTTTTAGAAGATACATCATGTTTGGATTGCTTGGGGAAACTGTAAGTTTATGTACATCTTCCCACTGGAAAATACATACATCAAATGTAGCTCCATTCTTCTACAACTTGCAAAAATCAAGGTGATCAACAATGGACTCCACATGTTTTCATGTTTTTTCAGCCAGGAAGATACTAGCCCTTCTCCTCTTCGTCTCGTGGAGCAGTTTGGTCGCCATCTCCCGATATCACTTGGGAGTCCATAGCCATGTTCAAATCCTCTGCGGCGCAGTACTGGGAGGAGCTTTTGGAGTGTTTTGGTACCTGCTAGAGACCTGGCAATTGGAGTTGGGTGATTTCTGAACGTCAATTTTTATCTGTTTGTTGTTTTTGCCCTTGGTTCATCCAGAAAATCTGGGGAAAACTATCGGAAATCTCCATTTTTTTTTGTTTTGGTCAACTATTGGAGAATATAATGTGAATATTTGTTGACCATTTTCATGGCCTGCAAACCGAAGGAGATGCAGCTGAAGAGGATCTTGCAAAAGCTTCAACGAAGGATCCTGTACTTTTGGACGGCTTTGAACATCACTTGTGAGGGATATCTTGAAAAATCGAAGGATTAAGCCTGAAGCTGATGAATAGGGTGATTTTCTTGTGGAGGTCGACTGATCATCTTGATCTAATCCGGCTGCTTGGATCCTATCCGCGGTGAGTTGGGGCTGATCCCAAGCTGAGACCTTGGATCCTGGAGAACATGTGATCCAGCCTGTCGCAGATCCAGAAGTTATGTCTCAGGATAGGGTTTAGGGTGAACTTGCCCGAGACTTTCCCTTGCTGCTCAATCAGTGCTCAATGACAGGTGGCCGAAAATTGCAGGGCTGTCAAGCCCTGCGTGTTGTCACGCATCATAGTTGGAGCAGGATACGATGGAACCACTGGGCAAACATGTAATATGGAAGGGAGCATAGGGAGCGTTCCATTGCACATCTTGCTGGGGCGTTCCCCAGGGCGTTCCCCATTCTGATGGACCCATCCATCCCTGGTGCTTTCAGACTTTGTTGCTGCCGCCCATTGTTGGTCAATCCCTTGCGTTCTGATTGAAAGATTGGTTCCCGATTAGGTAGTCATTCGTTCGGTTATTATGTTGGTCAAACATGGTTAAACCCTGCAATGTGTTGCTTCACATAGGATTCAGAAATCTGTCCCTCCTGTTGGATAACCGTTTTTTCGGTGTAGATTATCCTACAATGACGTGACCTCCCACATGGCACCCTTCTGAAAAATCACACGGGTCACACGGGTTCATAGTCCAATACTACCCTCTGGTAATTTAACATAGCTATTGAAAATAGCCATTTATAGTTGATTTACCCATCAAACATGGTGATTTTCAATAGTTATGTTAGTTTACCAGAGGGTACAATATGATCACATTATCATGCTATCCCGAAAAAAATGACATCTGAGTCCGATGCCAATGAACCAATGAACCAATGATGGACATATTGTGGCTTACGATACCTGCTATTGGTTGATTTCAGATAATTCCATATACTGTAATTCTCCCCTCATGATAGAAAGCGTTCAGAATGCCTAGCCTAGAACTATTCTTAGATACCTGGATAGTCTATATTATACCTATCATGCAGAGATTCTTAATGACTCTTGTTCATACTATTGGTTCACATAACTACTCTTGTTCATGAATATCTACTATTCGCTCACTATAACATGTTATAACATATAATAACCTTGGTAGATACCTACCTAGATATTAATTAGGTTCATAAACCAGTAGTAGGTATGCTAATAAGTATAGGTTCTTATAGTGACTATTATTTATTAGATTTTTCATATATTTGGATGAATTAATTTATGACCTCACGTTTTTTCGTCACTGGAATGATGGTTAGACCGCGGGGAAATATCCCCAAATGGTTCGGCTTGATATAGAACTACTATGAACTACTGATCACATAGGATAAAACTACGTATATTTGTAGGATATCATTCAGAATCTATTCATATGTCTAGATCATTCACAAATATCATTATTCAGATAATAACTATTCTTCAGCGAAATATGTCCCATCACTATCACTATTGCTAGATATTAATTACTATTAACAATTTATACTAGTCACTGACTAATAATAGATATGAACCATTGATATTATCACAATGTATATATATATATATTAAACACTATCATGAGAGATAGTTTCTGATAATTAACTATGTTCATCATAGGTTTCTCCCTCCACATTGAAGGCTCCGGCTCTGCAGGTTTAAGTCGAAGCTCATTGGCCAGGAGGCCATGAAGCTTTGCCAGGCGGTCGCTGGGAAACCGCTGGGGCGAAAACGCGATTGGGCGATGAAAACACGGTGGGTTTATAAAGAACCTGGAAATTTAGAGTGATTTTATGTGACATTTATGACCAGAAATAGTCTGGTCGGTGGTTTGGACACATTTTTTATTTTCCATTTCATATATGGGTTGTCATCCTTCCCATTGACGAACTCCATCATTTTTCAGAGGGGTAGGTATACCACCAACCAGTTGTCTATGTCTGATTTCATCGCCTGAAATGCTGCTTTTACCAGCGGAATGGCTGTGATGATCCACCGTCACAAGGGCCATTGGGAAGACCAAAGGGAAACTCCGGTTGAATCAACAACGAGCTACCTGCTACCTGTTTGCCAATCAAGAATTTTGCCATCAAAATTGGGCCAGATTAGAGAATTTGCCAAATTAAGGCCCAAATTTATATGTTTAACATTGTTTAACGCGAATTTGTTTAACATTCATCGATATCTTGACATCCCCCACTCTGCAACTGCTTCGCGTTAGGAAATCATCAAAGAGATCGCTGCTGGTCGGCAAGCCTCAAGTGCTCTGGCAGATCATTTCTGCGGATTTTCGAAAAACATCTGGAGACCCCCAAAGCACTATCAAATTAAAACACCAAATTTGCGGCAGTTTTAGGGGAAAGCCATGGTTTGGGGGTTAAAACCAGGTCTTCGGAAAAATTTGGTACTGACACATGGATTCCAGGAATCATGTACCCAATGTGGATGTCCAAAATCCTTGGAATGAGATGAAAACAGTCAGGAGTTTGAGCCTTGAAGCCAGCAGATTTTGGTGATTCCTTTGCACCTTTTGGGAACCTTGGTTATGTTCACTTGATGCTCCGTTTTGAAGGGAACTTCCTCCAAAATTTGAGCCACATCCAGTGCTTATTTGGTGTGAAATTGGCTGACTCGATTCAAACATTGGTGAAATCGGCTAGAAGTTCCAGAACGACCAGCCTTTTCAAACATCAGACTAGCTGACCCCAGGTGCTGACTGTGTGTTGGCGGACGACAACGTCGAGGTGATCAACAGGCCGGACATGGTGCCAATTTCTACAGGTCGTTTTATGGCTGGTCGTTGGTGCAAATAACTCCAGTATCTATGGTTTTATCATGTTTTTTATTGGTTTATGATACGTATAATGAACTATAGTTAATGATCTAATGGGGTTAATTCTAATCCAACTTATACCCTGGGTGGGCCTGCATTGTACTAAGCCATAATTAGATGTCATGGATCATGGATGTTTCAACTTGTGCAACAGAGACCTGTGCAGGATGGACTCAATGTGATTTAATGATGGTATTTCACCATCTTTCGTGACTTTGAGGTTTGAACCATTGTGAACACCATTGTGAGTGGTAAGATCTCCATTCTAGTTTTGTTTTGTTTTTCCTATGTTTTGTGTATGTAGAATCTAAGAATCTAATAGAATCCTAGTTTTCCCATTAGGAACACCATTCACAAATATGTTAAGAATCAGGATCCATTGATGTTTCCATTAAAATTATCCTAATTTTCCGGTCGAAATCCAATCCTGGTGGCTTCCAAAAGTCTCAAAACTCGGCCATTTTTATGGGGCCAGGTGCTTCAGTGCTCCCTCCGTGGAGGAGATGTTTCTTTTTTGGGGAGGGTTCATGAAATTGGCCTAACATCACATTGGATATCGATTGTGATCCTTTTTTCAGGAGCAAATCATGAAACCTATGGGGCTGCCGACGGTGCCGAATTACTTTCCTGAAAAACATGAGCCCTCCAAAATTTGATTGCAGGGTGATACTGCGATGAGATTCGTAGTGGAGATGACCACGTTGGTTTCTAAGTGAAACTCGTTTGCCCGAAGCAGTAAATGCAGATCACCTCTGCCAGGTTTCTAGGTCATCGAGAAGGATCCCTGGAAAAACGTCTCTTTGGAGATTCCGTCCTTTAATGAGGTAGAGAGATGTTGGTGATTGGAGGAAAACAAAACACGGTTTCAGTGACAGCATCCAATTCAAGATTCTAGAACAAACCTGCGTTTGGCTCTTTCAGTCTGAGTTCAGGAGATAATCTCTCGTCTGAAGACGGAGACTGGCGATTTTGCATTGCTTACTTTGCAGAAGATGTTCCAGTTACTTGGCTGGTGATACAGTGCTACCCCCCCAGACCCCACGACCAGCTTCATGGCCGACCAGGTCTTGTTCACCAACCAGCTGCAAAGTGACACTGCGAGCCATGCAACAAGCTGCTACGATGAGCATTGGTCCAGTGCTCCAGAAGCGTGGTGAAACAGCGGGTGAAACAGCGGGTCATGATAGCCACGGGCTTCAGAGCCATCCTTGATCTCAATAAAGTGTTGAAAAATGCCATTGACATCCATTGACTATGGTTTGTGTATGTCGTATTCCCTCCGATATGGACCGATGTTTTTGGTGATTGCTTGGAAATTGAAATCCAACCAGCTTGGTTTCTTGCATTGAAATATTGCTTTGTCTGAAAATTGCTTAACCCAAAATTTCATGGTTCATGACTTCATGATCATTTTTTCCACATGATGAAGAAATCTGCAAAAAATGATGCCAAAACTTTTTTGATGCTGGGTGGGGGGGTGGTTTGGAAAGGTATGTCATGAGGTGGGGGGCTTTGGAGGGTCTCTCATGGTATGGCATTCATGGGCTACATGGTTTGTCATGTCCAGTTATGTTACATGGCATGGCACGCATGGAATACATGTTGGGGGCTTGCCATGTCATGGCATGACATGGCATGCATGGAATACATGTCGGGGGCTTGTCATGTCATGACATGCATGGAATACATGTCTGGGGCTTGTCATGTTAGGGCATGGCATGGCACGCATGGAATACATGTCGGGGATTGCCATGTCATGGCATGCATGGAATACATGTCGGGGGTTGCCATGTCACCATGCATCTATGTTGCCATGCCATGTCCAGTGGTTCCAAAGCTGGGCCGTGCAGCCAAACACTTCAGCTGAACTTTGGCCGGATTAGTGCTCCTGACCTGTTTATCTTGGCCGAAGAAGCCGTGTGGGCACCGCAATCATGTTGTACTGCAATCCTGCTTCGACCCCGACACGCCATTCCGCTCAACAGGCCCAACAGGCTTGCATGGCATCTTGTGTTGATGTGTTGATTCTAATAATTCTCAGTCAATATATCTCCGCACCAATTTGTCACTGATTTGTCGCTGTTCATCTTTTTTTTGACTGTTGGCCGCGCACGTTGACTAAGAGCAAAGTTCTCTCACATCTTCCATGGCAGCTGGTTCCACAGGGACTACCCATGGGACTATCCAGCTCATAGCATGTGGTCGCAAGTTTAAGTACAGTGGATTTCACGGACAGTAGCTTGACTTGCAATTGCCATTGACTCTTGACCTGACATGACCATGTCACATGACCTGTACATGACCTGTCACATGAGCTGTCACTTGACCTGTAGCATGGCCTCTTGTTCGGCAAGTATTGACGGGATGTGACAGTGCCTATGGTCACTGAGGGGGGGCTCCACTGACGGTGCCTTGGTGCTCAACTTCCAAGGGGCGAATGACTTCTTTTTGGGTGGCGTTGTGCCATGGTTGCTTGTTTTTGCATGTGCTAGGATATGCTGTGTGATGATCTTATATGTAGGTTGGGCACCGCAATCATGTGCATGACTTTGGGGCCAAAACACACGGTCATGTCATTGTCATTAGAGCTCCTGAGGCTTCCACAGAGCACTTGTACCTCATCCAAAGGCTTCGGACCACGCAGAGTCTGTCATCCTGGAAGTGTATGCGGACACTCTCTTCCCTCATCGTATCCTGAAATGACATTGCATGAAGTTGTGTTGGCATTCATGTGTTGTGGCATTGCATGGCCATACATCATGATGACATGGCATGGTTTGACATGATGACATGGCACGGTTTGACATGATGACATGGCATGGCATGGCACGGTGTGACACAGTGACATGACTTGCCATGAGTTGTTAGGATGACATGACATGACATCAGGTGGCATGAGCATAAGCGGCATGCATGACATGGTCAGTACTGATTTGCTGGCCATTGAATCCTGAGACTTCACCGACAAGAGACATGGGGAGAAGAACACTGGCCTCGATGACAGCTGTCAAAACCAGCTTTTGGAAGACCACCCGGATGTAGTGAAGTGGGCGAAGAATTTGGCCAGAACCCTCTTGCCCCTTGACGGCAGGTGGGTACTGGATGAAACATCCGACACCCAGTGCTTGATCTGGGTTGGTGAGGAAAATGAGGAAACTTCAGGTGGTCCGGAGCCTATCTTGGTGTCAGAGATTGAACCTGAGGGTGAAGGGCCTGTTGAGAATCCTTCCGCTTCTGAGCCTTCTGGGAGCTCTAGCTCAAAGAGAGTGGAACTTGAAAAACAATGAATGTAGTATGCATAAATGTTAGGCACATGAATGCGGAACTTAATTTTCCAATGAAGGGACTAATCACCTTTCGTTGGCCTAGTTACTTTAGGAACACGGACTCATAGCAAAGAGCGAATGGTTAAACATATCCCTGTTGGAATTCGGACCAAACCTGGGGGTTCCATTCTATAGGGACTAAAACGAAAACCCAGGACTAAGGGGGGGCGATAGAATAGAAACCCAAGAAAGCCAACAACCCCCTGCCACTCCTATAAAAGGGAAAACCCAGCCTTATACTGGCCACCGCTTGGAACAAACAATCCACTATAGAATGAAAAATTTGGTCCCAGTGATTAGGAAAAAGACACCTTATAGAATAGAAAACTGGGTTTGCAATGCCTTAAGTTTGGTTTCACTTTTTGGATCTGGGCTGGCACCATTCCACAAAAGAATATACTTGGTGACTATTTTACAGAGGGGGGGTTGGATTTCCATTTTATAGGAACTGATCCAAGAGGAGCCGTGCCTCAGCATGGCCAGGCTCAGAAACATTTATAAAATAATGTATATATATCTATCTATCTATCCATCTATCTATTTATCTATCTATCTATCTATCTATCTATCTATCTATCTATCTCTATATATATATATTATTTATACACATGTATACGCACTATTATTGTGCCTACTGACAAGCCCCCTGCCATCCCTATAAAATGAAAACCAAGCCTGACACTGACAAACCACTATAGAAATACATGAATACATAAACACATAATATACACACTTATAGAAAAAAACACTGGGTCCTAGTGATCAAGACAAAAAACTACTGAATAGAACACGCTATTTCCAAGGCCCAAAATGTGGTTCACATTTGGATCTGAGCTGGTGCCTTTCAAAAAAGAAACATCCTTGGGGACCATTTTTTGGAAGTGGTGCTGGATTTCAATTTTATAGGAGCAGCCCTGCTAAAAACTGATTCGTTAACAGTAATGATTACTTTTTCTGTTACACACTTTAATTTGCACTATCATTGCCCAGTGACACTCCCCCCATCCCCTTCCTATAAAATGAAAATTCAGCCGGGCACTGACCACTACTTCCAAAAGATTATCCACGAGTGCCCTACTGACTAGAAAACGCTATTTCCAAGGCCTAAAATGTGGTTTCACATTTGAATCGGGGCTGGCACCTTTCAAGAAAAGAAATCTTGGGGACCATTTTTTGGAAGTGCTGTTGGATTTCCATTTTATAGGAGCAGCCCTGCTAAAAGCTGATTCGTTAACAGTGTTGATTACTTATTCGTTTGCAGTATGTTTCAATATTTTACAGTATCTGGCAGCATTTACAATATTATTGCCCACTGACACCTCCCCTTCCACTCCTATAAAGTGAAAACCCAGCCTCATACCCACCGTTTGGAACAAATTATCCACTATAGAACGGAAAACTGGGTCCCAGTGATTAGGAAACATGCCCCCTACAGAATAGAAACCGCCATTTCCAAGGCCCAAAATGTGGTTCACGTTTGGGCTGGCACCTTTCAAGCAAAAAAATCCTTGGGAACCATTTTTAGAAAAGTGGTTTGATTTCCACTTTATAGGAGCAGACCTGCACAAAACTGATTCGTTGACAGTGTTGGCCACTTATCCGTTTACAGTATCTTGCAATATTTTACAGTATCATACAGCATTTACAATATCATTGCCCACTGACACCTCATTTCACTCCTTTAAAATGAAAACCCAGCCTCATACCCACTGTTAGGAACAAATTATCCAATATAGAACGGAAAACTGGGTGCCAGTGATTAGGTGCCCCCTAGATAGAATAGAAACGGCTATTTCCAAGGCCCAAAATGTGATTCATGTTTGGGCTGGCAACTTTCAAGCAAAAAAAAACCTTGAGAACAATTTTTAGAAGAGTGGCTGGATCTCAATTTTACAGGAGCAGCCCTGCACAAAACTGATTCGTGAACAGTGTTGATTACTTATTCGTTTGCAGTATGGTTCAATATTTTACAATATCATACAGCATTTCCAATATTAGTGCCCACTGACACCTCCCCTTCCACTCCTATAACATGAAAGCCCAGCCTCATACTGGCCACCGCTTTTAAAGAATAATCCACTATAGAATGAAAAACTGGATCCCAGTTATTAGGAATCATGCCCCCTACAGAATAGAAGCCCACATTTCCAAGGCCCAAAATGTGGTTCACGTTTGGGCTGGCACCTTTCAAACAATCCTTAGAAATCATTTTTCAATCAGTGGTTGGATCTCCATTTAAAGGAGCGGCCCTGCACAAAACTATTTCGTTAACAGTGTTGGCCACTTATTCGTTTACAATATTTTACAGTCAGTATTAATCCCCACTCCCACCCCCCCTTTCACTCCTATAAAGTGAAAACCCAGCCTCATACCCACCGTTTGGAACAAATTATCCACTATAGAACGGAAAACTGGGTCCCAGTGATTAGGAAACATGCCCCCTACAGAATAGAAACCGCTATTTCCAAGGCCCAAAATGTGGTTCACGTTTGGGCTGGCACCTTTCAAGAAAAGAAATCGTGGGGACCATTTTTTTGAAAAGTGGTTGGATCTCCAGATAAAGGAGCAGCCCTGCACAAAGCTGATTCGTTGACAGTGTTGGCCACTTATTCGTTTACAGTATGTTTCAACATTTTACAGTATCATACAGCATTTACAAGGTTATTGTCCCCTGACACCTCCCCTTCCACTCGTATAAAATGAAAATTAAAACCCAGCCTCATACCCACCGTTTGGAAGAAATTATCCACTATAGAACGGTAAGCTAGGTCCCAGTGATTGGGAAACATGCCCCCTATAGAATAGAAACCGCTATTTCCAAAGCCCAAAATGTGATTCATGTTTGGGCTGGCACCTTTCAAGTAAAAAAAACCTTGAGAACAATTT